GGGGGGGAGGCGGGATAGTAGAGGATAGGAAAGGTAGCAGAATACAACAGTTACTAGTATGGCATTATGTAAAAATGTGGATGTGTAATCGATGTGATTCTGCAATCTGTATTTGGGGGTAAAAATGGGAGTTCATAACCCACTTGAAGCTAATGTATGAAATATGATATGTCAAGAACTTTGTAAGGTTTTGAACAACCAATAAAAAAAGAAAAAAGAAAAAAAATAATAGCTGTCATCTTCTGAATACTAAATTTTTGCTAAAATCTGTGTTGAGTATAAGTAAATATACACTTGCTTATTTAATGGTCTCTATCACTGTTAGAACTACTTGGTTGCTCTAAAAAACCAAAAGACAGATAAGTGAGCTCTGTTGACCATTCTAGTCATAGAACCAAACATTTGGGAAATAGATTTAACTTCAGGTAGGATTTTAAAGCCCATTCCAGGGCTTTAAAATTTAAATTTAATTTAACTTTAAATTAAAACCTGTCAATACAACTCAAGGAACTAAAAAAGTAGTAAAAAACTAAACTTTCAAATGGAAGAAGGAAAGAAAGAACAAAAATGAGAGTATAGATAAAGKAAATGGAAACTAAAGAAAAAAGAATACAATATACAACCCCATACCAGGCATTGACTCACATGCCAACTCTAGCCCTGACAGAATTTTTGTGTGGCTCATGAGCTAATAATGGTTTCTACCACCATATCAGCCCTATAAGAAATATTTAAGGGAATCCTACACTAGAAGATAAAGAATAATAACTACCATCATCAAAACATGAGAAAGTACAAAACTCAATAATAGAACAGATATACAAAAGATAAAAAGAGGCCCAAACCCCACCAACACAAAAAATCACCAAACCATGAAGAAGAGGAAGAAAGGAACAAAGCCCACATAAAACAATTGGTAATAAATTGAACAGGACAACAAAAATATTTTGTTATTTATCAATAGTAACATTGAATAAAAGATATGGTATTCCACAGTTAAAAGATACAGACTTGTTGAATGGACTAAAAAAAGAGAGACCCAATTATATGATGCCTACAAAAAAAAAATAATAATAATTCATTATATCAGTAAAGACACACATAGCCTGAAAGTGAAGAAGTGAAAAAAAAAGATATAACATGCAAATAGAAATAAACAGCAAGAAGGAGTAACTACATATGTGCATTAGATAAATAGACTTAAAATACAAAATATAAAAATAGTCAAGGTAACTATAAAATGATAAAGATACCCATTCAACAGGAGAAATAACAATTGCAAATATCTATGCATTCAATAGTAGAGCAACTAATTATGTGAAGCAAACATTATAAGTTCTCAAGGGAGCTACAAATTCTAATACAACAATAGTTGAGGATTTAAGCATCTTACTTTCATCAAAAGACAGATCATCCAGACAAAAACATCAAGAAAGAAACATTAGGGTTCAATTATACCATCAATCAATGGCCTTAACAGATATTTACTGAACATTTCACCCAAAAGCTTCAGAATTCATTTTCTTCTCACCAGAACTTGAAATATTCTCCAGGACAGATCATATGTTAGGCCAAAAAACAACTCTGAACAAATTAAAAGAATTAAAATCATACCACACATCTTCTCAGAACACAATGGAATAAAACTAGAAATCTACAATAAGAGAAACTTTAAAAATTATACAGATACATAGAAATTAAACAACATTCTGTTGCACAACTAATAGGTCAATTAAGCCATGAAATGGGAAATGTAAAAATGTTGAAATTGATGAAAACAAAATGTTCCAACCCATAAAATACATCAAAAGTAATATTAATAGGGCAGTTTATAGCAACAAGTGCCTATGTCAAAAAGAAGAACTTAAAATTAAAACCTATCCATACAACTCAAGGAACTACAAAAGTGAGAATAAACCAAACCTCCAATTGAAAGAAGGAAAGAAAGAATAAAAATAAGAGAATAAATAAAGAATATGAAGACTAAAGAAAAAATACAATATGCATCTAACAGAGGATTATTAGCCAGAAATGAAAAAGAACTCAAAAAACTCAATGGGAAAAAAAATATATATATATATAATTTAAAAATACATACAAATGGCCTACAAGTATATGAAAAAGTGTTCAACATCACTAATCATCAGGGGAATGCAAATCAAGACCACAATGAGTTATCCTCTCACCCCAATTAGAATGACAATTATTAAAAAGAGAAAAGATAACAACTGCTAGTCAGGGTATGGGAGAAAAGGAAAATCTCCAACATTGTTGGCAGGAGTGTAAATTATGGAAAACATTATGGAGCTTCCTTAAAAAATCTGGAAATGGAATTACCATTTGATCCAGCAATTCCACTATTGAGCAAATATACAAGGAAATTAAAATCAGCATGTTGAAGAGATATCTGCACTAGCACATTTATTCATAGTAGTCAAGATATGGAATGAACTAAGGTGTCCGTTGATGGGTGAACAGATAAATAAAATGCAGCACATATATACAATGATATATTTTTTTCAGTCATAAAGAATGAAATCTCACAATTTGCAGTAACATGATGTAACAAGAGGACATTAGGTGAAATAAGTCAGACATAGAAAGACAAATATCACATATTCTTACTTATACGTAGAAATTACAGTTTCTCAAAGTAGCAGAGAAAAAAATACTAGTGGCTACCAGAGACTAAGTAGGGATCAGTAGAGGAAGGGTTGGAAAATGATGGTTGATGGATGTAAACATACAGTTAGAACATTAGGAACAACTTCTAATGTTCTATAAGACTATAGGATAACTAAGGTTGACAACAATTCATTACATTTCAAAATAGCACAAAGGTAAATTTCTTGGAAAAATACAGCAGCATTTTTTTCCCCTAGGGTAGAAAAGCCATTCTCCTCTTCTGAAGGAGATATAGATTGAGTATTACTTGGTGTCATCAACAGAGGCACAGCTGGTGACAGCCATACTTGATGAGGATCACACCTAAGGCAATTGACCTCTGTACCAAAGAATACTAGCCTCTGTGCTAATTCTAGCAACATAGAGTGAACAAGACTGATTCCAAGCCCACCACATGCTATTGACTGGAGGTGGACCTTTGCTATAGAATAAGACTACAATATCCAAAATCACTGATATTTCTGATTAACATTTTAAAGAAAGCTTAATGCCTACTGCTAAAGATGAATCACAAAGCTGTTTAAAAGATAGGTTTCTACTTTGATTTAATTTGCACTTCATGGATGAAAATCCATGAGAAAATTCTTCAAGGAATGTCATGGTTACTGGATAGGAAATAAGGTGCCTCATTTTAACACAAGCAGAGACAAATCAATTTCCTTAGACCTACACATTAATGAGAAAGATAAACTTTACATTTTTTTAAAAAAGGAAGGCAAATAAAAAATTATAAGAAACTGTACTCTGTAATGATCAAGTCATATATTGTACACTTACCACAGTAAAGCAGTTTTTCATCTGACTTATCCTTACAATGAGGAATACCATCACAAGTGAGTTGGTAGTCGATGCATTCACCATTTCCACACTCAAATTCAGAATAAATGTTGCAAGAGGAATTTTTAGCTGACATAAAAAGAAGTCAATATTTTGGGTAATGTTAAACATTTTTTAATACCATGACTATTTTATTCCTTAATCAAACATAAACTACAATTGTTTATAAAATTCAATGAAGAGTAATGCTTGATAGATTTTTTTATTAAACTTATCAGAAACTTTTTTATTCTTACTCTCATTTGTTTTTACAATTTGTTTTGGGGGCATTGCATGACTATTTCTTTTATGCCTATTTGTGTATTAAATACTATTTAGTTTTTGCATATGTGTGCAGGGAATGAGTAGTATAAATTCAAATGACTGTGCAACTAGATTAACAATGTGTGTGTTTTTTTTTGTGTGTGTGTATATGTGTGTGCGTGTGTGTGTGTGTGTGTGTGTGTGTGTTTCTGGAGACAGAACCAAGGTATGTAAACATGCCAGGCAAATGCTCTGCCGCTAAGCCATATTTTATTTTTAAACATAAAGTAAATGTTTACAAAGAGTTAGGTAAATAGTTTTGTGCATACTGATAGTGGGTTTTATATTTTTTGTTAGAATCTATGATATATTCAATACACTGAAATTTTACAGGAAGGGGGTGCACCCTTTTTTTAATGCCAGACTTGAAATCATCTCAATCAAATGAATGTCCCCACTTGTCCCTACTTCTAACTTGGGCTTCTTCACCAACTAACTTCTTTTTTGTTTGTTTTTGTTTTAAAATATACATGACAGTAGGGTGTATTTTGACATATTATACAAACATGGGGTGCCACCCCTATAATTTTAATCCCATTCCTTGATTGAACATGATGTGGAAATACACTGGTTGTGTATTCATATATGAGCATAGGAAAGTTATGTCCAATTCATTCTACTGTCTTTACTATTCCCATCTCTCCCCCCTTCCCTTAATTCCCTTTTGTCTAATCCAATGAACTTCTGTAATGTTCAATCATAGTATTTTATATGCATCTTCATCTGTTGACACCAACTACCTTTGGTTGAAACTTCAGTAGCCAATTCTATCCTTCAGAAGAAGGATATGGCTAAAATCATCATCATCAGCTTCTTGCCTCATTCATGTATGTGGGAAAAACTAAGGAACAAGTTCTCTCTTCCTGTCACACATGACCAGCATGTACTACTTAAAATGCATAGGAATCCATGGGATGTGTTGGTAGAATGCAATGATAATCTAGAAAGCATGTACACCTAAAGCTTATGGACACCAACTGAACACTGTCATATTGTCCCATTTCTAAGTTTCAGGTTTTCCATAAAAATTAGGATTCTTTTGTTTCATTTTGTTTTTAATGTGGTTCACTTGAATCGTAAGCATAGGGCAGCCATTAAAAAAATGTGGAAAAAAACCCTTTCCTACAAGTTAGTTTTATGTTGACAATACCAGCACATGATCCATATTTTTAAGCTCTCTATTTTGGAAAACGAACTCATTTTTACTTTTACAAATACACTTATTAGCAAGTTTTCAGAGGTCAATTTTTGGGGTGTGCTCCTTGCCTGCATATACTCACTCTACAACTTATTGAATAATTGTACTTTGAAAGCAAGTCATATGGTGGAGGTAATTAGAATTCATCAATCTTTGCAGGAGGTAAAGCTTAATTTTAGAATTCACTATAAATTTTTTTAATATTTATTTTTTAGGTGTAGATGGACACAACACAATGCCTTTATTTATTTATTTATTTATTTATTTATTTATTTTTTTATGTGGTACTGAGGACCGAACCCGGGGAGCTAGGGGAGCACTCTACCACTGAGCCACAATCTCAGCCCCTCACTATAAAATTTTTGAGGCTTTTTTTGAGGAATGTTTTATTAAAGAGCCACTAATACCATTGAAATTTCAGTACTTCATTTTCTTATAATTTTTTAATTCAACTAGCATTTAACACATTTTTATACCCATGTGTTTGTCTAAGACTACTAATTTAACTCTTTCAATAACATTTTCTAAATATATTTTTTCTTGGTGCATTATAAACTCCACTAGTCAATAAGTAGCAAAGGCAGAACACAATTTTAAAGAAGGTAATAAAGATAAAAATTGTTAAATTAAAATGAAAAAGTACCACAAAGGGAGCTAACATCATTCGGAATAATCACCTTAGATCATGAGCTGAGCAAAATTCAGATACTTACTGCAAGTTTATTCGCATTCTTGACTTATTTTGCCTATTTTAAGACTAATCTATTCATTTCTCCTGTCCAATAAAAAGAAAAATTGCTGTGATGGAAAATGCCATATTTATAGTTTTGTAATTATGACTTCTGGGGGGAAATTAAAGTATATACTTATTTATCTATCTATCTATTGATTTATTTGTTTATTATGGTAATGGGGTTTGAACCCAAAGATATTCTATCACTGAGATGCAACTCCAGCCTTTTATGTTTTCTTTTGAAACAGCTAAATTGACAATGCTGGCCTTGAATTTGTGATCCTCTTTCCCTAGTCTCCCTAATCCCTGATTTTGCTACTATGGACTACAGTACTAAACTCCCATTTTTTTTTCAATTATGCAAAATTCAGTACAGTATGGGTATACTTCTTGCTCAGGTGAGCTCATTTCATAAAATTATATTGAATATTTTCTGTTTCTGTCTAGAAACAAAAATGTGGTTTAGCTGTCATTCTCCTATATGATATTTACTTAAAAATTATGTTTGTTTTTCTTTTTTTCTGTTTTGGATGTTGATAAAGTTATCAACGTTGTTTCTAAAGGAACTACGTAACTGCCTAATCTTTTGTCTTTTGTCCACAGTTATGACAAAAAAAAATGGTTTTCCCTCCTTTGCCCTCAGGAAGGTGTTTGTAAATGGCCTTTTACCCCTTTTATGATGCCATTAACATTCAGAAGGGACTCCAGGTGAGCTCATTCAGGTATGAACACAGATGTACCAGAAACACTCTCATATTTCAAAGATGGATTTCACAAAAAGAAGCTTACAGTTACTTTCCAATCTCTCCACTAGAACACAGGATTTCAGTATAAATGTACAATGGATATAGTCTTTCTCTATAACAATTTGTCACCCCTGAGGAATCCTGTATCACTCTAGAGTTCCATGAGAATGAAACTGTGTTGTTTAAAATCATGTTTTTCTGACTGATTTATTTCCTCTCATACATAGAGAGAAGCAGTTGGCTTAGTAGGCACAGTTGTATATAGACTATTTTGCAGCGATAGGCCTGCACTGTATACAAATAAGCCTTGCTGTTTTGACCAAAGTCAGTGCTTTGACACTAGCCTGCAGTGACCTGTGAAGGAAACATGGGTGATTCTAATGCATCACTAATATTCCAGGTTTACAGACGACATCAGATACAGGTCATTAGAACTCAAACCAGGAAGGAAAATTGAGAGTTTAAGCCATTGCTTGAACAATCCAGGGAAGTGTTAGGTGACCAAAAACAAAAGCGGGGGTGGGGGATTTGTGGCCTGAGTTACTAAAGTTGACTATCTGCATTTACATTCACTGATTCTCTCATTTGCTTTGACAAAGTCTTAAACAAAACAACTTCTCTCCATTTTGCTAAGAGGTATGCTTTTGGGTTACAGTACAAATGTGCAAAGTGATACAGTACACAGCAGGTCAAAGAGAAGATCCTCCTGCTGATTGAAGATTAGAAAAAGACTGAAGATAAATATGAAAATACTTATTTTATAATGTAAATATATCTAGCTCTGCTTATCTTCTATGATAAAAAAGATAAGAGATGAGGATATAAGTGAGGAAAATTTTCAAATCAACATTTTGAGAGTGAGTTGATCAATTTCTAACAAGATGATTCTCATTCTACCTTTCTCATATAGAGATAGTCTTAATGTTAAGGGGGAATTAACCTTTTTTATGTTGCTTGCTAATTTTTCACAGCAATATCGGAATACTTGAACCGTTATTTATTTTGGAAACAGTTTTGGAAACCAAGCTGTTAATAAGTGTATATTGTAATGATACTAATTAAAGATTGTAATGCCTTTGGGAAGCATAAACATCATGCAAGACTGCAATGTTACATTCTTAATTAACAGTTTGGAAATGATTACAAATAAGCTGCATGAGCCATTCCCTCTCATTTACATACTGTGATGGACTGTGAGTGGTTTTACTGCAAGACTACAGATATAGTGCCTATATTCCAGTTTATTTCAGCTTTAATTAATTTTGTAATTGACTGAATCTCACAAAGTCACAGCTACAAGTTTTCAGATGCTCATGTGTGTTGGTACTTCTGTAGCTCCAACACCTTCCAATTCATAAGCACCAGGAACCTTGTGTGTTACTCTCTGTCACAGGGTACTGTAACTAAATAAAAGGGTGAACTGAGTTCTTACAAGAGAAAGATAAACCAGCTTAACTTCTAATATTGGAGGATATTATGATTTCATGAGTACATTTGAATCATTTCAGTAGATAAATATGCTATTCTGAGCAGACAAGTCATATTACATCATGTTTGTCTTTACTTACTCACACATCTGTTGTCATCTAGCAATATTCGGTCCCCCCTACAGGAACAATTCACTCTCCCATCAGGGGTTAAAAGGCAGAGGTCATGGCAACCCCCATTCAATAATGCACATGGAGAAAGTTCACCTGCAATGAAGAGGCTTTATTGGCAACATTTCATACTGAGTACCTATTCTATGTCAGATACAGATTAATAGAAAGATATCAAACAGCTCTGATCTCTCAAAGATATAACAACATTTCAGGACTTTTGAAAATCCAAACTTTCTGAATGATAACTACATTAGAAAAATATATAACACAAATCTTTCAAYTGGATTTGTCAAGGATACCATGGTCTCAAATGAAACAGTCCCAGTAGGAACCAAAATGATAATGCAAACTGCAATTTTGTGAGTACTACAGTGATTGAAGGACTTTTAAGCCCTGATACAAAGCATATGGAGAAGTATCATTATTCTGGAACCAACTCAGTCTGAATATTCAGATATGAGGAGTATCAGACAGTGTAATAAAACTCCAGACACAAATAATTGTTCCTCTGGTGGTAAGGCATTTTCAAAGTTACTTAAACATTTCAGGGAATTTCAGTATATCCAAGAGTCTAATCCTGAACACTGGTCTCTAGAACTAAGAGAAAACAAAAATACACTGATAATTTTTAAGAGATTATATCATAAAATTAGGACTTTTTTCTATTGTAACTTACAGCTATTTGTGTCATTGGCAACAGCTATGATTCCCATTGGTTGGTGTGGAATATCAGATCGAAGAATCTTTGTGTCTCCTCCTGTGTACTTGTTGGAACGCAGGATAGCTCTTCTTCCCCAGTCTGACCAGAAGATGTAATTGTCATAAACTGCCAGACTGAGGAAAGTCCCTGGCCCAGATTTAACAATCACCTGGAATAAATTAAAATGTTTTTACAGTGAAAAGACAGGTATTCATATATCCACATATACTTGTGCTCAAAAAAAAAAGGAGTAAGATGAATTGGATGTAATCAATTAAAATTATCAGATAAAAATATCATCCACTAAATGGATTGTTATAATACACTTCATAGTTTATTTTAAATGCTTAATCATCTTTAGTATTGTCATGTGTTTATTTAATATTTCTATTGCTCAGGATTACTATCTCTATGCCACAATTTTTATAAACAAAGTAGTTTCAGATTTCTTCAGATTCTGGAATATTTGCATACAAATATGGAAATAGGACCTGTATCTAAACACAAATTTCATTAATGTTCCATGCATAAAGACATAGCCCAATATTTTTTTACCATGCCCATGTTGCTACTGCAACCAATCCTGCAATGTCATTGTGGAATTTCTCACATGTAGCATTATGTCCATGTTCAAAAAGTTTGAGATTTTGGAATATATCATTTTTGATTTGTGAGTTAGGGATGCTTCACCTGTAATTTTATTCAATCATTTAATTTGTATAAACAATTGGATTTTTCAGTAGTATAAACCAAAATCATCAAGTCAAAATTATGAGAAAAACATTACCAAAAACATTCAGTAAGGAATCACCAGTCACATAGCAGACACTTATCAAATTCTTGGAACTTCATATGGAATATTCAGAATAATAAGGTCCAGGTTCTTCTTGAAGAAGTTTACAACATGAGCAATTAAAACAGGTAAATATATTCTGGCAATAAAATTGAACAACGAAGACCAAATTTTCAGACCAAGATGAATTAGAAGGGCCCATATTTGTTTTACAAAAGCAACTTAGAATCTTATAAAAATACATGAAGCAAAATTAATTAATGCTTTGGATATCAGAAAAGGCAGTAATTCCTCAATAAAAGAAAACAAATGATATGTATTCCATGGTAGACGCAATTAGCATGGAGGAATCCAAACAAAACCCAAAGAACTTCCTGAGTGAGATTATGGAAAGGCAGAATTATGACAGGACAGAGGCTAGATCTCATAAGGCAAGAGTTGGAAAAAAGAGCTCAGGGTGCACRGGTGCTCCTGGGCACTCAGCTAGGCACTGGCAAATGCCCACACATGCCAGTTGGAGAAGAAGCCAGGAGACAGCAACAGAGAGTACCAAAGTTGGCACAGGTCTGGTAACCATGTCTTTCAATAGGAGCTAGCTGTAAAAACACTCTGATTAATGGGTCTGAGTTGAGTCCTTGGAAGTCTTACTGCAGCAGTGAAAAATAATTATCCCTAGACTAAACTGTGTTCTCATCCTAGCAAACCTTTAAAGCAAGACGTGAAAGAATGAAACTCACTCCAAGTAGCTTCACTATCTCTCAAAGTAAGGCTCAGTAATTTTCAAGGTAATGTGAAAATTTATACCAGTAAACTACACTGCAAAAAAAGAAGAAAATTCTTAAATCAATAACCTCAATTTCTACCTTAAGAAACTAGAAGAAAAGGAACTAATCCCAAAATTAAGAAGAGAAAGAACAAAGATCAGAGGAAAATTAAAGAAGGTAAAAGAGAGGGAGGGAGGGAGGGAGGGAGGGAGGGAGAGAGAGAGAGAGAGAGAGAGAGAGAGAGAGAAACTATATAGAAAAGTCAAATTTAAAACACCCATTCTCTGAGATCAACAAAATATATAATGCCTCAGGAGATGATGTGATTTATGCCAGTAATAATTGTTGATATAAGATTTTTTTAAAATCAAAAAATAAAAATATTTCACTGTATTAGCACACTAAAAACATCATGTGAATATCTCAATAGGTACAGAAAAATTAGAAGAATTTTCATTCCTGAAAAACACTCAGAATATAAATATGAAAAGAAATAAAACAGGAACAAGGAAGTAAGGACCACTCTCCCTCATTTTATTCAATGTTATTCTAGATTCCAACCAGTAATAACAGGTAAAAAAAAAAAAAAGAAAGACAGAAAGAAAGAAAGAAAGACAGAAATACACATTGTAATATAAAAATCCAAACTTCATTATTTGCAGATGACAAAATTCTTTACATAAAATCCTGTGTATCTACAAAAACTAGGTAAACAAATAAAAATATGCTGTAACTGTGAATACAGTTGCAACACATGACATTGATAAAAAATCAATTGTATGTTTCATAATTATAATGAATAGTTGGAAATTAAACTTTTTAACATTTGTATAACAGTATTATCATTATGAAATATGTGTAAATATGAAAAAAACATGTATACAAAGAGAACTGCAAAATGTTGCTAACAAAAATTAATAAAACACAAAATAAAGAGGTATCTCTTTTTCTTTTTATAGTAAAACACTGTTAAAATATAATTTCTCCTTAAATGAATATACTAAATGTATTTTTCAATTAAAATCATTCAGATATTTTGTATAAGTTGAGAAGCTGCTTCCAAAACTTACATAAAATGCCAAAGATCTAAAGTTGTAAAAAAAAAAATGTTGGAGGACCTATATTATCTTATTTAAAGTATTACAACAATATAGTTATTAAGACACTAATAGGAAAAATTATAACTCAACATTGTAAAAGCTATATATGACAAACCCAAGGCGAACAGCATTCTAAATTAAAAAAAAAAATAAAATAAAACTGAAAACATCACCTCTAAAAACAAGRACAAGATAGGGATGCCTTCTTTCACTACTCTATTCAAAATAGTCTTGAAATCTCTAGCCAGAGCAATTAGGCAAAAAAAAAAAAAAAAAATGAAATAACAGGAATAAGAGTAGGAAAAGAGATAAAACTATTTGTTAGCTGATGATATGATTCTATATTTAGAAGCCTCACAAAATTCCATCAGGAAACCTCTAGAACTCATACATGAATTCAGCAAAGTAGCCAGTTACAAAATTAACATTCATAAATCAACTGCATTCTTATACTCCAATGATGTATCATATGAAAGAGAAATTAAGAAAACTATCCCATTCACAGTAGGCTTGAAAAAAGTATTGGGAGAATCAATCCACAATAGAGTTGAAGGGCCTATACACAGAACACTAAAGAAAGAAATTAAGGAATACCTTACAAGATGATGGAATGACTTCCTATGTTCTTGGATAGGCAGAACTAACATTGTCAAAATGGCTGTACTACCAAAGGCACTATATAGATTTAATTCAATTACCATCAAAATTCAAAAACATTCTTTATGAAAATAGAAAAAGCAGTCACAAAATTCATTTGGAAAGTAAGAAACCCAAAGTAGTCAAAACAATCTTTAGAAAAAAGACCAAAAACATATATTGGAGAAAAAAGAGTCTCTTCAACAAATGGTGCTGGGAAAACTGGAAATCCATATGTAATACAGTGAAATTTATTCCCTATGTTTCACCTTACACAAAACTCAGCTCAAAGTAGATCAAGGACCTAGGTATTAGACCAGAAATCCTATATACTCTGGAAAACAAAGTAGGCCCAACACTTCAACATGTAGGCTCAGTAAATGACTTCCTTAACAAGACTCCTAAAGTGAAAGAAGTAAAATAAAAGATCAATAAATGATATGGTATCACACTAAAAAGCTTATTCACAGCAAAGGAAACAATCAAGGACATAAAGAGATAGCATAGAGAATGGAAGAAAATCTTTGCCACCTGCACCTCAGAGAGAACATTAATCTTCAGAATATATAAAGAAATCAAAACACTTAGCATGAACACACACACACACACACACACACACACACCAATCAATAAATGGGTAAACATTATAATAGACACTTTATAGAAGAAGAAATATGCATGTCAATAGTTATATTAAAATTATTCAACATCACTACCAATTAGAGAAATGCAAATTAAAACTAGAGTGAGATTCTATTTCACTTCAGTCAGAATGGCAATTATCAAAAATACAGGTAACCATAAATCTTGGTGAGTATGTGGGGTAACCATTGCACTCATATATTGCTGGTAAGACTGCAAATTGATGCAACCACTCTGGAAAGCAGTATGGAGATTCCTCAGTAAACTTGGAWTGCAACCACCATTTGATCCAGTTATCTCACTCCTTGTCATATGCCCAGAGGACTTAAAATCAGCAAACTACAATGTCATAGTCACATCAATCTTTATAGCAACACCATTCACTATAGCTAAATCATGGAACCAATCTAGGTGCCTTTCAACAGAGAATGAATTTTTAAAATGTGGTATATATACACAGTGGAATATTGCTCATTCATAAAGAAGAACAACTTTATATTTTCCAGCAAATGGATGGATCTGGAGACTGTCAAGCTAAGTGAAATAAACTTGTCCCCAAAAGTCAAAGGTGGAATGTCTTCTCTGCTATGTGAAAGCTAATTCACAATAGGGTTGTTGAGGGGAAGAGATGACGTTTGTAGATGAGACTATGGAGAATGGAGAGAAGGAAGGGGGCTAGGCAAAGAAAAGACAGTAAAATAAATTTCACATAATTTTTTCATGTACATTTGAAAATAACAATGAATCCCACCATCGMGTACGWCCATAAGAATGGGATCCTAACTAGAATAAGATATATTCCATGTTTGTATAATTATATCAAAGTTGTTTCTACTGTCATGTACAACTAAAATGAACCAATAAATTAAAAAAGACAGTACAGGGTTAGCAAATGTAAACAAATATATCAACAAAACAGGTGATAAAGTTCATTAAAAATACACACATATGCATATAATAAGTATTTTTGACATAAATACAAACCCTTTTAAAATAAAATTTTTTTTCAAYAAATGGTACTTGAACAAGTGTATATATTAATACAAAATTTTAAAAAAGAAAAGTTTCAAGCATAGCTTACACTGTGGGCAAGATTAGCTGAAAATTATTATAAATCTAAATTCAAACCTATATTAAACTACACATCTTCTAGAGAAAAAAAAAAACTAGCAACAAAAGCTTTATGATTGCCCTTAACCAAGATTTTTAAGTATAACATCAAAAAAGTATGACT